GAACAAAGCGTTTAATAAGAATCCTCCATTGATTGAAGATGGTGAAGTAACTGGTGTGGTAAAACAGAAAGAGAACTTTATAAAGCTTTTAAAATCCGACACATAGTAACTCGCAAGCACTTAGAGAGATGTCTCACAATTATTTTGTTGTTGCTTTTACTCCAGTCCCGCGGCCTTTCCTGCGTTAAATAATGAAACCGAAAGGTCCATCTTTCCCGAGCCCAAGGAGCTCTCTTAATGGATGATAAGCTTTTCATTGTGCCAGGATAACTTCTGCCATGTTAGCCGGCCAGCTAGTGAAAGGGAAAAGACCATGAGGTTCAGATTTACATTGGCACCCGAGTGGAGAAAGCTTTGCTATCCGCAGTCATCAGCTTGATCTCCCCTCTTAAGTTTACTATCAGACGAATGACCCGCTTCAATCCTGTGACCCTGCTTGTGCATGCTCAGAAAGGCAATTACTTCAAGCTGTTGGAAGTTTCCATATGAGAGTTAGGATGAGGAGGTGGAGGGGCAGCTACATGATGTCAAGAGAGTTGACAAGGCGTGTGTGTACTCCTGGGAAAAATCAGAGGACATGTCGCCTGTCTAACAATGGCCCAGAACTGGACAGTACTGTGGGAACGGAGCATCGAGGCTCCTGGGAAAGGAGGAGGGGGATGTTGGAGGTGCTCCATTGTTCTTGCCGGGTGATGGGGATAATGGGTGCGGGTGATGCTGGCTGTACCTTTTTTTTTTTTTTTTAAGGAGGTCCAATCCAACATCCTGAGTGGACAGGCCGGAGACGAAGTTCCCTTTGCTGCAGGAACAATAGATGCTGTCTGCATGCTGGAAGGGCCCCACATCCCCTATTAAACACACACACACACACACACACACACACACACACACACACACACACACACACACACACACACACACAGCATCCAGGAATACAGGTAGTGCTGTATATCAAACTCAAACACAGACAAGAAGCGGAAACGTAAACATTTGAAGAGGCTCACACTTGTAGGGGAAGTCGAGGATAAAATATATGGATGTACATTTCCACATTGAGATTTTAAGAATGAAAAATGTGCTCTAAACTCTCTGACAGCCAGGATGCAGTAATATTGGACTGACTAAACAGACTGAGACCCAGTGCGTCTCAATAATCTAATACAAACATACTTTTTGGTTTTGATTTTTTAAATCTCCAATAAGATCCTGATCAGAAAGGTTTTCCATTCTGTATAACTCTTTCCAAAAATTCTATTTTCAGTTTACTAAGTCTGATCCATGTGGTATACATATGTGTTTTTTAGGTGTTCTTTTCGAATCATTTAGTCTGAACTACTAGTTTTAAGTCTGCCTCGATACAGCCGTATGTTACATTTTGTAAATGACATTCCGATTTAGAGTAAAATTGACGATAAAGGGGTGGCTACTTTGCGATTGTGGCTGCAATGTTATGCCGTATGTGGGTCATCAGCGTTTTCATCTTAACATTTAGGTTATAAGGTGTGATAAGGTTTACCACTTCCACAATTTGTTTTTCGGTTGACGACAGGTAATTGTAACATTTTGGTTCTGCAAAAAAAACTTTTTCAGCATTCAGTTGAACTTTGCACACTACTCGTGACTATGTCCACTTCTCATACAGTCTATAGGTGCCATCAGTCCTAACGTCTACCTGTAGTTGAGCTTGACATCAAATAGCTCAAGAGAGACCACCAAATAAACATATACAAGCAAGCCTTCTGCATGCCCCACCCCAACTCATACACACACACTTTCTGAGAGCTATAAGTGGTACCAGCCCTTTCTAATTGACTCCAGGCTCACAGCGGGCACTTTGCCCATTTCCCTCATCCTTCACTAGCCTTTGATGGAGCGGCCTCGACTTTGGGTCAACACAGCATCGGGGAACTGAGACAAAACAATGCAACAATGCCCACTGCAGCCCAATTGTCAGGGTGAACAATCCCAAGCGACCGACCCTGCATAAAAAATATACAGGAACAGGAAACTGATAGAGACCTACTTCCTATCCAAAAGTTAAATTTAGTAACGGCTCGAAGCATTTTCTCTTGTTTTGTTGAGCAGCACAAATGCCCAAATTAAGGACTGGCTTGCTTGAACAGAATATTGTTATGGATACAGAGAATGCTGTGTGACGGTATCCTGTGTATGGTTGAAACAAAGAGAGTTGGCACACAACGCATTGTCTTTCACAAATACACACGTAAAAAAATCCCTGAAAAGTGGTCTTTGCTTTGCAAGGTTCATTATTTCCAATAAATAATTCGAATAAATAGATCTTGCATAACTTTGACAACCTTATTCCCCCTTGGTCTAACTATTGCTTCTGTTTTTCAGTGCCTTCAAGCACTGAGTATCTCTGGCAAGCTCATATTCAAGTCTTTTGGCAGTGCAGTGGGCAGAAAGTATGATAACAGAGCAACTCATTTTCAACAGGCCTGGCACATACTTTAAAGACCAGCAGGGCTGAGTGTGCCTAATTTTAGGCTAATCCAGAATTCGCAAAGAGGTGGGCCGTGAGGCGGATGTGGGTCTGGTTAGCGACAGCTAGCAGCTAGCGACCTGGGGCAGCACCCAGCTGTAACTCAAAGCAGCTCACCACCTTATTAATAATCCATAATTGTATGCCACAATATAATAAAAAGGGTGGTGTTTGAGTATTTGCATATATAAACTAAACTGTTTTTTAGTACCAGGCATTAAACCTGTTTAGTTCTACTGCTAAATTGGGCCTTATTGATTTGCTTTTGAAAGTAGCCTCATGTGGTCATTTGAGGAACTGCTGTAAGGATAGAGTTGCCATGAATGTTGGCCTTTTTTAAGACCTGCTGGAGCCCGAAGTCTACTCACCGCCACTTTGAACTTCTTTCCAGTCTAAAAAGTTGTGCACTGTAGTGTATTTGTGCATGTGTGAACACTCACCATGAGATGTTGCCTTTCTTTAAATGTGTGAACAGCGTGAGGAAATGCATCAGCAGTGACTCCAACAATGTCAGGAAACGCAGTGAGAATAGCAGCTGATCCCAGAGGTTACATGTACAGCCGTTAAGGATGACCTGTCCCACAGATTGAGGTCTTCCCAGCTAATAACTCCTACTTTTATGTACACAGCTTTACACAAACAATTATATGCATTGTCAAGTTTTTGTGGGAATATCCTCAGAAAGTAGTGTGTGTCTGATTTGATTGTTTTGGGACAAGTCTAGATGTGAGAATCAAGTAACCAACCAATGACAACTGCTTGATTGTAAGGCTGCAGTTTCTCTGTTGGGTAGATATTAACTGTAGAGGAACAAACTGGAATGTTGTTGTGAAAGAATATCACAGGGCGTTGGGTTTCTTCAGTTTGATCGGCTATAAGGAAGATGAATGTAACAGTGAGCGCTGTTCCGCTGACGGCTTTGGTTGGCAGCAGACGGCCGATATGGGTCGCCCTGTGCAATCTGTTCCGTGACCCTCTGGCTTTTTGTGAAAACACACACATGAACAATCGCATGGACGCATGCACAAGTGCGCACACACACACTGAGATAACAAGAGTGTGAGGATATGCCAGCCAACTTTTTGTGAACATGCATTGAACTGGGCAGCTTTAGCAGGCTCTGTTTGGATTGTTCTCTCAAAAGTATCTGCCAATTTATCCTCAGCAGGGAGAGGCTGCCCACAATAAAAACACATTCCACTCTGAGGACAGATTATTATTATTATTAGATCGTAAAACATTTTGATAAAACCGAAGCAATGAAAGGAAAGGAAAGTGTTTTTAATTTTTGTTTTCAGCTGCTGTGTTACCGCTCTCATTTGGCCTCACACAGTTGAAGGGGTTTGTTTTATGAGAACCTGTCTCACTTGAATTTCCCATAGACCCTCTTTCCTGCTATAGATACAGCTAATCGTCATGGAGAAAGTCCGGTGAATTACTGGAAATGAGCACTGTATCCCAGAGTGCTTCGGCGGCAATTCTGAAAAGACATATGGCTGCATTCATTCAGAGCCTGGGCGAGCACCTTTGTTGAAGTTGCTGGATTTTATCAAATGCTTTCAACAAAAAACAGCTTTTAACAGTCAGGACTCCACAGGGGGTATTAAATAGAGCCTGTATAAAGAGCTGTTCCACCTTGTATGAACTTTTACTGGCATATAATTGATGCCTTTCTCCCCCCGTGCAGCCAGAGCTACGGATTTGAAAACAGCCAATAAATCAGAGTTAATTCCCTCCATTTTCCCCCCTGAGAAGGTATTGCTCACGATAGCCTGTAGGACTCTTCCACTTCTACACACCTCCTTCCATCTATTCTTCCCAAAAAGCTTTATCTTGAGTGATTCAGAGCCTCCCTATTGTGGCAGTATTTGGATAGCAGTCGGACACAGAAGCAATACACACTATAGAGACATTCTCCCTCCACAGACATCTCATCCCTTCAGAGGGGAAAAGGTAATACAACCATCATGTATGGAACGCAGTCTCTGTATAAAATCCATAGTATATGTTTCGCAAAGGTTTCACGCATTCAATGACATGGACTTTAACAAAGATGACTTGTGACTTCCCTTGGACTTTGCCTTTTTACTTGAAAATGATAACTATAAGCCGAAAGATTAAATAAATGTTCCAAAAATAAATAAATTTCCTTTCATACACTGAATCCACCAATCTACCCCATTCATTCTCAGAAAATTGACAATTCACTCCCCAGATCCACTGAGTTTGATCTAATCCAACAGGATCCACACAATTTGCTGAAGCAAACCATGAAGAAACCAAAAGACAATTTTGTTTGCATACAAAAACTATGAGGTGGGCAGCAAAAAAGGAAATTTCAAATTGGCATTACATTTGGTAAAGGGCGCATAATAACTTGATTAACTCATCAAGGTTTAAGACTTGGGACTTGAGTTTTGAACAGGAATAGTGCGGTAGTGTTTGTGTTGTATCGATATGAAAACTATAACAACAATTGACAATGTCATCATTCATTTAAAGTACTTTATTTTAAACAAAATAATAAATATCAACACTGGTATTTCTTCATCATTCTTTAAACGTAAAACATTTAATACAGTTTGCACATAATTAAAGATCTGTCCATTTGTGTACCGCTTTCGGTCCGTTCCGTGTGCAATCGCGAATGCATCTTAACTCTCTCAAACTCTGGAAAAAGTTTGGATTATCCGACTTGTGGCTTGTCTTTCCTCCATTATTCAGCTCCCATAAACTACAATGCAGTGGTCCTTTCTGTGCCTCTTTCTTTATAGCTAAAATACTTTGGTTATAAGTCATTAACAATCCCAGAATTCCTTTGGTTTCATTCGCTTTACCAACAACTTCCCCAGTTCATATCCCCAACTTCAGGGGCAGACACTCACTGGGTGAAAGGGGAAAAGTGCATTGTGTGTGTGCATGCATGCATGCCTGCATCCACGTAGCCATTATCCTCCTGGGAGTAGAGCGTGATCCAGAGAGCATACATTCCATAGTGGGGACAGAACCATGGGAGACAGAGGAGGAGGGGGTCTTAAAGTACTCTAGGGGTTGCAGTGCAAATCTCAGAGGAATACGCTTCATTTTAATACTCCCTCAAACACGATCATGGAATATCCCCAGCCCATCGGCAGACCCCCCATTGCACAGTTTTTTTCCACTGTAGCATTCATCCTTAAAAGCCCTCAAATGAAACATGATGGCATCTTATGACTGCAGTCTTCTCTCATAGTGTAGTGTCACTTTGTTTGCCTTGGGGAGTGTTCTCATCTTGTGTTTTTAATAGTTCCATTTATCTGGTAAATCGCTGTTTGCTTGCCTGCCTCCGAGGCATCAGGATCACAGTGCAGTAGCTGTTCTTCGTCTCTCCTTCGTTTAAGCTCTCACTTTGCACTCCTGACAGTCAAGTGTCATGCTCAGGATTACATTTATCCAAAAAAAACAAAACTGGAAGACTAAACAAAGCTTTCATGGTGATAAACAATACATGACCACATCTGACTGCCTCACACATAATGCTTTTGCTTTGAGTGTGCTTTATGGGCAGGCTTACTGTTTTTCCCATTATGATGTGCATGTTTTTTATAATGGACTCTGGGGTTATGGGATGTCCTCATAGCCCCCATGCAGTTCACGTAACTGGGAAGAAGGTCATTCATATTCTCCCTAGATCCCCAGTTCACCTCTATAGCCAGATCCCCGTAGCTTTCACAGGGGTTTTGGTAGCATGCGGCTTCTCCCTGGACGGGTAAGTTGACATGACCCCCTGCATTGTACGGCTCTGATGGCTCCGTTGGGAGTTCTGGAGCCTCCTGCTGGGCCGGTACCTGCTCTGCCCGAGGTAGGCAGTCTTGTTGCTCGGTATGGTAGCGTTTCTCCAGCCGATGGGAGATGGCAAGCTGAATGAGGTGGAGGAGCTCTATGATGTTGAGTAGCAAAGAGATGCCAGCGATCACCTGAGTGTAGATGGTGAAGATGGTCTTCTCCGTGGGTCGAGAAACGAAGCAGTCCACCGTGTGAGGACAGGGGGACGCCGTGCACTGGAACTTCGCTGCAATGATGAAACCATCGTAAAGAAACCACAGCCCGAGGATGAAGCCAACTTCTAAGAGGACTTTTAACAGGATGCTGAATGCGTATGCACACAGCAACCTGCCTTTCAGTTTAGGAGCCTCAGGTGGAGCTTTTTCCGCTCTTCCACGTTTCCCACCACCCTCTTGTTTCTCCTTCTCTTCTGCATTGTCTTTAGTCGCACTTGTATTGCCCCATTTGACTTCTATTTTTCCTTTCTTGCGTCCTCCACTAACTTCTTCGGCCTCCTTCGCATCCTCCTCTTTTCTCTTGGCATTCCCAGCCCTTATAGTCACATATCCAAAGTAGAAGATGGTCGGTGTGGACACGAAGATGACTTGGAGGACAAAGTAGCGAAAGTGGGAGATGGGGAAGGCTTTGTCGTAGCACACGGCAGGGCAGCCAGGTTGTTTCGTGTTGCAGACAAAGTCGGCTTGCTCGTCGTCCCAAGCAGACTCTGCAGCGGCTCCCAGCACCAGCATGCGAAACAGGAAGAGGACAGTAAGCCAGACTCGGCCAACGCCTGTTGAATACTCCTGACCCTCCTCCAGTAGGTGCTCCAGGAAGGACCAGTCAGCTCTGGACATCCTCTGCTCCTAAGAGGGACAGTTTGTAGATAAAAGATAGGGAAAGATGAGAAAATGTTTGAGAAACTTCAGAGTTTACTCATGTATTCACTGCAATGGGAACTTCTAGAGCCTGGATCCCTTTATACCTTTCTGCTTGTGTTGCATTTGTTATGCAGGCCATATAGTTTCTCCACATACTCATTTACTGCTCCATAGCTGAACAGATTGGCTTGAATGTGCCAATTAACACCTAATTGCTACATTTTATTTCCACTATAAAATCCTCAAGTGCTTTTCATTAACACGCAGCTTATGCATAAGTGTTTGATGATTTCTATAAGCAACAAATGAGCTGCATTTCTCTAACCTTTACAGTATAATTGTGTATTTTTTTTATGGTGGAAAATGTGTATCATGAGCTCACACCGTTTTTAGGGTGAAAAACAAAGCCTCCATACACTAAAAGGCAGTAAAACAAAAACACATGGTAAGTTGACATTAAATATGAAAAGAACTAGTGTACACGTTCACTCTTTAAACTGGAGTGAAGTGAAGCCCCTCAAACTTTAACATTATACCTCTTTGTTGTTACATTCACAGTTCTAACTGAATTTATAAATCAATGAACGCTGCGACAAATCACAAAGTGGCTGATAAAAACTATTGAGGGGAGATTAATAGAAATTGTTAACGATAAGTGACACAGTCAGTTATTGTCGGGAAGCTCAACACACACACACACACACACACACACACACACACACACACACACACACACACACACACACACACACACACACACACACACACACACACACACACACACACACGCAGAATAAACATCCTGTGTGCAAATAGACACTTGTCTATTTGCTTAGACCTTTTTATGTTTTTTTGTTATTTCTTCCCCTCTGAGAAAAGAAAACTTACTAATAGTGAAAACACAAACCCTTCTGACAGGATGAGACAAGACAATGGCGTGTCAGGGATTCTGGCAAAAACATGATATCTGGGGAGTGCTTTGGTAGCCGAGAACTTCGTGCCACAGATAAGCAAAGGTTTGATTCTCTTGTTGCATTTTATAACCCTCTTTCTCCTATCCATCTCTACTCATAATTAAATTTAAAAAAAGTTCAAAAGTGATCCACCACTGAGAGTATTGGCCAAAGTGGTACCGTGTAATAAATATGCTACAGAATACCAACATAGTATGAGAGAACCATCAGAGAGAACCACAAGATGAAATAAGACAATTCATAAGTCCATAATACATATATAGTATAAAATACCGTAAAACACTATCATAAATGCCACAGACACACACGCTTTTCACTGGACTATTAATAAGTCTTCTTTTTTTCTATTCTTATTATTAGATTACTTGGTTCTTTTTGTGTTACTAGTACACATTTAAAAATATGTCTTTAACTAAGCAGGATAAATAAATAATAGTTAAAAAAAACTCAAGATTCACTGAAATTCACATTCAGAAGTTCATCCTGAAATCCATTAGATCGGAATACACAAAGTCATAAAATAATGACATAAAAGCAAAATTCACCTCCAATAGTCAATACAAAGTACTCTAGGCACTAAAAGTCACTTATAATAAATACAATATTTGTTCTTTAAGGGGATTTAAAACAACATAATCATTCACTCTTTGACAACAAATTAAAGCTGCAGGGACATATTATGTCCTTTGTACACAATGAAAGTGTTTTTTTGTTCGACACAAACAATGCTAATCTGTGTTTTGTTCCTAATTGGGAAACGTTCTTACCTTTCTCTCTCGTGAAGCGGGGTTTGTCTCCTTATTGGCGTACTGGTCTCAGCACTCAGTGTACTTTAATGTCTCCCTCCGCTGCCTACGGTGGCAATAAGCAGTCGGTTTGTGTTATGCCTTCTTTAAAAAGAATCGATGTAATCGGAAAAAGTGCGGAGAACTTTCCCATGCCTGCTTATTTGGCCCTTCCCTCGGGAAATTGGTCCAGGAAATGGGATGTATGAACCTAAAGTAGCTCTTTAGTTAACTGCGCTCGGGCGTTTTGGTTTTAACTTTGTTTAAAGACCACCAATTTGCATTAATTACAAGGGGAACATCGCCTGACTTGGATTACTTTAAAGTGAGAGGAGGGGGGAGAAGCTTAAAAGTCAGGGAAGGAAGGGGCACTGGAAAGATTGAGATGGTCGTGTTTAAAGGGGAAAAGGAAACAGTCAGTATAGTAGTATTATAATTCAGCTCCATACATTCAAATTAAGTAACTTGGTAAGAAAAAAAATACTTTGTTACTTGTCTTCGACAATCCATTGTAAATCAAATGGGTTTTATAGTTATTTTCTTTTCTATTTTAAAATATTGGTCATTTTAGCATTCTTACAGTGCCACAATCAGATAATATTTTAAATTTTTCATAAGAATAGTTAAGATCAGATGACTAACGGGACTTTCTATCATCCGTGTACACTCGTGTAATTTTCCATGACGCCACACAATGGCGCCATTCACCATATTTCCGAAAAACACATGACGCATACATGTCTGGATGTGATCTTAATTATTTGAGTCGATTTCTCGAGCTCGTAACTGTACATCAGCTACATTATCCGGTAAAACTCGAGGTTTTTTGCTCATCAGTATCATAGGTAATGCCACTGTCTTACATCAAGCTCACATACTTCAAACTGTGACCACACGGGGAAATTGTGTTTTTAGGTCAAGTTATTTTCTTTTCCAATCAATATTAAAATGAGGATGAAGTATGAGTTGTAAAAAATCCATTTACCCAAGGTACTTTCTTTGTTGAGTATTCACATGTCTGCCTCTATACACTTCCCTTTTGCTGCATACTGGTATAGTTTATTTATAGATTAAGATTTGGATACAAGTTAATCTGCAAAAAACGAGGTAATTGTAAAGGTGCTACTATACACAACTATAAAGCTTTTAAAATAAGCTCCATCCCTGCCAACATCAACATTAAAGTGGGCTATACTTCTGAATTCATCATCAATAATATCCACTTATAATATAACACTGACAGGGTCTATTGAGCATGGACACTTAAGGTACACGTTGTTGACAATATGTGCATGATTTTATTTTAGTACAATTTTATTTTACTGGAGTGTTTTTATTTTCATAGTCTGGTATAGCTAAATGTAATTATGCAAGTAATCTGATTACTTATTCCCCTGCTGGAATACATTTGACAGTTAGGTAGCTGCTTACTAATACTAAGTAGTTTAACATAAGGTTTACAATGTTTTAATTTAATAATGTATGCAATAATTTGTATGCACAAAATTAATCTACTGAATACAAATACAATGTAAGTTAAAGCACTAGTCTGAGTCTGTGTGCTATTTACGTGATCTATCTAATTACTGACCACTAATGACATATCACGGTTTAAACTCTGCCCATGTAAATAATAGAAAACTCTACTTCGTGGTATTATAGAATAGATGATGGTATTGAGCTCTGTTATGCAGCATTATCTAACCTTATGTTTGTGCTTATATACAAATGAGCCTGTTTGCTTTCTTTCTTCAAGGCTCAATCTGCACACAGGTTTTGTTTGCGGACATGTGGCTATCCAAAACAAGTCTAACATGTTTCTACAATTCAGATTCTCTGTATGCACCCATTGAGTGTGTGTATGGAGTAATGCAAAACCTTGAGGCACATCTTGGCAGTATACTGAATACAAATGTGCTTCTTTTAAAAAAAAATGCCTGAAAGATGCCAACAACTGTAAACAAAAAGGATTGCTGGAAGACTACATTTCTTATCTTAAATCAATTTCAAGGCTGCACTGCTATGAGCATCAGACCCCCCGGCTTCCTTATGTCTATAATACATTGAAACAGTGATTGATTGTAAGTATGCTATTCAGATATCTTTACTGCATGATGACACAACTTTAAAAACCTCGCTAGTCATGATGCTGTTCAGCACCACATCACGCTGGTATAAAATCAAGTAGCTAATGGCCACTTCAATTATCACATTGTGACACAGCACTCAGTCAAATTAAAGTATTTGCAGAGAAGAATTCTCCTCCCAATCAGTGCTGCACTATCATATGTGTCAATATGTAGATTATAGGAAGAGATAAGAGGCTGGGTCCGTCTCCGACAGAGCGAAGCTTTATAAAAAGTCTGGCAAATTGACAGTGAATCATTCTGACAGATCAGTTTCTTGCTCTTTCTTTGGTCATTACATCCGTAGATGAATAGCAAGAAGGGAAGTGAGGACAGCCGACAGAGAGTAATGGGACTGTTTCCATTCAGGAGATGTGTTATGCCTTCCTGTGTTCGCTGTGTTCCTTCCCACCGGAACAGTTATCAATGAAACTAATTGCCAACTTCATCTTCAATCAATTCCTCAGCGCTGGACACATTTTAACATGCAATGTTGTACTTTATGATTGATTCAGTCCTGAGCATACATCAGTGAACTCAATGAAGCGGATATGAATGTGGGATTGGGAAATTAATTCAGATTGAGGTTAACAAATAATAAGTTTGAGGGTGAAAAATCCTTCAGAACTTTTTCTGTCATGTGTTAAAACATATAAAACAGGTGTGCATCATCATGGGCTGAAATGAAACCAAGGCAAAAACAACAAAACAACCAGATCCATCTAATCGAAATCTGAGGTCCCTTTCTTTTTATATGAATAACGAATGGCGGAACCGTAATTCATACATTGCTTTGCTAAATGATTAACTGCAACCAACCTTGTAGGATAAACAGGCTAGAATATCTTCTACCCAATCCCTCTTTATTTACTGACATACAAGTGTTCTGTAGATGTCAAACCCCATGATATGTTCAGTCATACTCATATCAGAAGAAAGGTTTAGGGATAGCAATTGCCCAGACCTTTGGTGCAGATTGAAATAACATGTATAGGAATTGCCATAACATTTTGTACAGACATTCATGGTCCCCAGAAGATTAATTCCACTGATTGTAGTGATTTATGTATTTCCTGGGGTCCTTCTTAATGCCATAATGAGGTTGACATTTGTGTTTTTCTGTAAACAAAGTATTGGCAAACTTGGCTTCCATGAGATTCATGGTTTCAACCCTGATGGCATTGTTGATCTCCTGATGTATCCTAGTGCAGGGGTCTCTAACACGTCAATCGGTAGCTCGCGGGCAGCTTTTCAGTAGCTCGCAACTCGATTATCGATTATAACGTAGTAAGGTTGCTTCTTGATTTTTCGGCCGCGGCTAGACAATAACGTTTTTTTATTTTTGAATTGTTTTTTTTTCACACGAATATCAAATTGGTCGGTGACGCAGAGATCAAGGAACAGACGTGACAGCTTCCAGCAAGGCCCTACTTAAAGAAATATCCTAGTAGCTACTTGATGGATTGGCATATTGTTGATCTTGTGTGAGCGAAATGTCTCAACAATCTGTCAAGGTGTTGGACACTCAGATACACCTGAGCGGATTCATGATCCGTTCAGGATGAATTTGTTAATCCTTTCTTCTTGTGCCATAATTAGGTTATCATTATTTTTTTTATTTTTCGTGCACTTTCTGTCATTATGTGCAAACCCCTGCATTTCAGAATCTGTCGTGGCACAAAACCACTTAGAAAGGTTTAGGGAAAGATTCTGTTTTGGTTCAAATGACTGCGAGGGTGGTGTTACTTAAGTATGAAAGTGAATGGTGTCCTGGGTTAAAGACCTGCATATTTCAGTTCTATCCATCCGTCACTACTTCCTCCCTATACATACGGTATATGTCCTCAGTCCTGGTACGATGATGTGGGTTACATATTAATTGATAATCTAGGTTAAATGCTAATTATAGTGCATTAACTTGAATGGATATTAAAGTCCCTGACATTGTAATAATTGCACTTGCTAAACATCATCACGTTAGCATTGTCAGTGTAAGCATGCTGATGTTAGCTCAATGAGCCACTGTGGCTAAGTATAGCGTTACAGAGCTGCTAACATGGGTGTTGACTCTTAGTTTCTAATTAGTTTATCATACTGTTGGCTCAGCTATCTGGTTCCCTTGATGATAGGATGCCTTTGTGTTATCCATGAGGAATAGTCCTCTTAGGCTCAATACACAGGAGCACTGCCTTTGAAATAATGTATGTTCTCATATGAAAGGAATGTCTTAAAATGAAAAATAGATTTGGCTGATAGTGTAAACACAGCAACCTCTGAGGAAAAGGTATGTTCATGTGACATGTTTTATATTGTAATCTGCAAGACTAAGTAAAAACATCACTTCTTCTTCTTCTGGGGTTACATAATGAGGGATAATGCTGTGTGTCTGTATTGTGTGGCTGTGTGGTTGGATGTTGAAAGGGACAGCAAACGAATCGTTCAGTCTGTCACATTAACAGTACATTTCCAGCAGAGAAAGCGGTGTGTGTCTATCAGCGCGGCCTGGTTAGTAAAGATGTCAAAGCTACATGAGCTATGGGTTCCACAGCCTTGCATGTTGTTTGATGAAATATGCATGACAATGTCAGAGCTGTATATCTTCTGAAGTATATATACAGTCTATACAGTATATATATAAAAATACAGTATATATGGTAGGCCGATGGGAGAAGGGTGATACCACACTACACTAACAACTCAATACAGCTGATTCCTGCATCTCAGACATTTTTTATTGGACAATTCAGTGGCTCCAATGGTAGAATTCCCATTAGCTTATACTATATCTATGCATGACCAATACATCCCATGGGTAAACACAGTGTCATGTCTCACTGTTGAACTGTCCATATCCAATAGGAGCATTGCCTAGATGCCCTCTCTGGTCTACTTACCAAGTGTCTCCGAGCCCTTTTACGCCTAGGGACCCCCTCCCTGACAAGCACTATTGATCTCAGCCAGCTTGGAGCGACGCCATGAAAGTGCACATTGGCAGCTGATGACAGCTTTATTAGAAAAGGAGGACACGACAGATCAGCAAGTTTCCCCACATATAAAGGCCCAAAGGGGATTAGCCATGAATAGAGCTCATCGCATTTCTTTGA